CACACCCACACACCCCCACACACCCACACACACCCACACACACCCACACACACCCACACACACCCACCCACACACACACACACACACACAGACACACACACACACACAACCCACAACCACACACACACACACAACCCACAACCACACACACACACACACACACACACACACGCGCGCGCGCGCGCCGCGGAACCCGATAAACAAGCAAACTAAACCCGAAACCTCCCGCCTCGTGCGCGTGGGTTACGATACCCGGCGCGCAGTGGGTCTTAGCGTACTCGTAGTTCCGAGACCAGTTCACGAAGGCGCGGTTGTTCCAGAGGTAGTTCTCCTGAGCACAAGGACGGCTGATAGACAACCTCCTAGGGTCTCAGTAGCATACTTTACTTCCCATAGCAGAAGGCGATCAAGGACTCCATGAGGGATTTTCTCCCCTCTAAGCGGAGGAGGGGAGGGGAGTAGAACGTGCCTCAAACCCGTATGCCGTCCGGGATGCGGAGTTCTTCATCTTTCCTTTGGCCAAGACGGGGAGCATGATTCGGTCCAAAGACATCATCGTCTGGGTCACCTCGGCTCCGTGGGGGTTTGGACTCTCGCAACTCGGACTCTGCAGGCAAGGTTGGGTCGGGTTCGGACGGAGCGTCCAAATAGGGTTCAGGGGCGTAGTGTCTAGTTTTAAGAGTGTAGGGTTCGTCTAAAGGTTTAGAACGCCCAGCTTCTTCAACTCTTTTTCATGCGATTCTGCAGTCGGCAGTCGGGGCCGCGCTTCTGTCGCCGCATGTATCTGTATCTGTGCATGTCTCTTTTTCCTTCTGTCTTCTCCGTGTTTCCGGCTAGCCCTACCCAATTGTCCCGTTGCACAGGTCCGTGACTCTGTTTGCAGGCAGCTTGCCGTGGTCCGTGTGGTTGTCGGTGGTAGGGGTAGAGGGAACTAAGGGAACATTGAAGGGCAATGGAATAACGCTGACAACCTCACCACCACTGTTGCAGAATATGTCACTTGGCCTGTTTCTGAGTCTCGCAACTATCTACTCGGTCCTCTTTGTCTTCTCTTTCTTGGTGTCCCTGCATGTCTCGGCAAAGCGCCAAGTTCGGCTCCCTTACACGCGCTTTGCGATGGTAACCCTTGAAACAGCGGCTGGATACAGACTGAAGGACCAGGGTTCCGGATGTCCACACGCTGCTCGCTCTTGTGCTGCTCATTTGCTGCTCTTTCTATCTCCCGCCCCTCTTTGCGATGTGGCCTCTGCGTGGACATGATAGCTGTGAACCGTTCGAGTCACCTCTGCCAGCCGGTTCCGCACAAATTTCAAGGTGGACAAGGCCAGATCCTTAGCCACGCAGGCGAGCCTTCAGCCACACTTCCTGAAGCTTCTTCCCCGCCTTGGATGTCTTCTTTGCAATGAGCCTTAGATTGCGCTTGCACCTCAAAGAAAGTCCTCCGAATGAAAGCCATCCGGGCACCGGGCAGCTCGCCACCGAGGCAACTGAGCGTGTAGGCATGGTCCTGCGAAGAGAAGAGCACCCTCCAACATCAGACATCGAACCGTTGAGCTTCATGGCAATTGCCGTGGCCACAGGAAAGCTAGATGTGCAAGCATCGTGAAGACCGATGCAAGGTCCATCATCTTGGCGCCCATTGCAAAGCCCACTGCCTTCCACAAAGGGCGCCCCAGGGGACAAGGCATCAAAGCGGGCGAAACGAATCTGAACCTCGCGGACCAGCGTCAGCCAAAGCTGGATGGCGGTGCGGCGCTGGTCGGGGCCTAGGTCGGGGTCTAGAAGAGCACGTAAACACAACGATCTCAGAAGCAACCGTTCCTGCAACCACCAAAAGCTCAAAACAGACATCGCAAAACTCTTGCTTTCGAACTATCATTCTTGCAACCGACAAGAGCCCAAAACGTACAGCTCAAAGCTGTTGCTTTCGAACCAACCATTCGTACAACTTACAACCACCACAAACTCAAAAGATACATCTCAAGAACTATCAGTCTTGCAACCACCAACCGGTCAACATGTACATCTCAAAGTTCTTGCTTTCGAACTCTCAATCTTGCAACCACCCAGAGCTCCAAATGTACATCTCAAAGCTTTTGCTCGCGAGCCAACCATCCTTGCAACCACCAACAGCTGCTCAAAACATACATCTTTAAGCCTGGCGTTCGAACTATCATTCTTACAAGCAGGAAAAGCTCAAAGCGTACATCTCAAAGCTTTTGCTTCCGCACCAACATTCTTGCAACCACAAAATGCTCCAAACGAACATCTCAAAGCTTCTTTTGCTTCCAAACCCACCAATCTTGCAACCACCGAAAGCTCAAAACGCACATTACATTCTTGCAACCGACAAAAGCTCATAAGGTACATATCAAAGCTTCTGCCTTCGAACCAAAACCGCCGAAAGCCTCAAAACGCACATCTCAAAGCTCTTGTTGCTTTCGAACCAACCAGTCTCACAACCACCAAGACCTCAAAACGTACACCTCAAAGCTTTTGCTTTTGAATCAACCTTTCTGATCTTGCAACCACCGAAACCTCAAAAGATCTAATTATGTCAAAGCTCTTGCTTTCGAATCAACCATCCGCACAACCACCAAAAGCACAAGACATGTGTCTCCTAACTCTGGCCTTCGAAATATCATTGTTGCAGTCATCACCAGCTCAATACATACGGCGCACAGCTTGCTTCCGAATCAACCAGGCTTGCAACCAACAACATCTCAACAGGTACAAATCAAAGTTTTTGCTGTTGAGCCAACCACTCTTGCAACTGCCAAAAGCTCAAACAAAAACATACATCTCACATCTTGCTTTCGAGCTGTCACTCTTTCAACCACTAAGAGCTGAAATCATGCATCCTAAAGCTCTTGCTTTCGAACTATGCTTTGTGCAACCAACTAAAGCTCAAAACAAACACCTTTCGAACTGACAATCTTGCAACCAACCAAAGCTCAAAGCTTTTGCTTTCGAACCAACCGTTCCTGCAACCACAAGCAGCTCAAAACATACATCTTAAAGCCCTTGCTTTCAACCTATCATTTTTGCGACCAGCAGGAGCTCAAAACCTATATCTCAAAGCTTTTGCTTTCGAATCAACTGTTCTTGCAACCACAAGCAGCCAAAACATTACATCCCAAAGCTCTTGGACCACTCGTGCAACCAGCAATCGTACCAAACGTGCATCTCAAAGCTGTTGCTTCCGAATCAGGCCTTCTTGCAACCACCAACAGCTCAAAACCTACATCTCAAAGATCTTGCTTTGGAACTATCAGTTTGGCAACCAGCAAAAGCTCAAAACCTGCATCTCAAAGCTCCTGCCTTCGAACTGTCAGTCTGGCAACCAACACAAGCTCAAAACGTACAGCTCGAAGCTGTTGCTTTCGAACCAGCCATATTTTGCAATCACCGACAGCACAAAACGCACATCCCAAAGTCTCAAAACTCTTGCTTTCGAACTATCATTCTTGAAACCAACAAAGCTCAATACATACATCTCAAAGCCTTGGCTTTCGAACTATCAGTCTTGCAGCCGACCAAAGCCCAAAAGGTAAATCTCAAAGCTGTTGCTTTCGAACCAAAAGTTTTTGCAACCACATAAAGCTCCAAGACTCCAAACGAACATCTTAAAGCTTCTTTTGCTTCCGAACCAACCAATCGTGCAACCACCGAAAGCTCAAAACGCAGATCTCAAACCCCCGGCTTTCGAGCGATCAATCGTGCAACCACCAACAGCTCAAAACGTACATCTCAAAGCTCTTGCTGTCGAGCCAACCAATCTTGCCACCACCAAAAGCTCGAAACCTACATCTCAAAGATTTTGCTCTCTTTCAGCCACCAACAACATGTCTAACCGTACATCTCAAAGCTTTTAAGCTTTCGAATCAACACATTTTGCAACCAACAGAGACTCGAAACGGACATCTCGTTGCTTTCGAACCAACCGTTCCTTCAACCACCGAAAGCCCAAAAGAAAATCTCAAAGCTCTTGCTTTCGAAGCAACCATTCTTGGAACCGCCAACAGCTAAAACCAGGGTGAGGCATCAAAAAGAACTGTTTTTTTAAACGCATCAAAAAAGTTATTTTAAATGATACAAACTCTATTTTCGGAATCCAAAAGAAATACATCTGCTTTTTAGGCAAAATAGAGAGGGCAAGGTAACACGCATTCCAGTTTCGTCCCCCATTTGCTTCCGGAATCCCACCAGTGCATGGGGAAAAGCATGTTGTCTGTCCAACAGCACGGGAAACCCTTCTGGCCGTGCGTGAAAATCTTGGCTCCGCGCCTGAAAAGTGCCAATACTTGGGGGAGAGCCTTCTGGCGCTGGTCCCGAAAGCATGCCGCCCGCACGTGGGCGTGCTTCGTTCTTTTTGCTGGCATACATTTCTTCAACATGCCCCCTCATTTGGCGATTCCAGTTCAGTATATATCTTAAACACGCCCCCTCATTTGGCAATTCCGGGTCATCATATATCTTCAGCACGCCACCCCCTCATTTGGCGATTCCTGTTTGTCGTATATCTTAAACACCCCCCTGCTGGCTTGAACATGCCCTCTCATTTGGAGGTTCCAGTTCATCATATATCTTCAACACGCCCCCCTCATTTGGCGATTGCGGCACCCAATGTATGTCTGATCACAGGTTCTGAAACGGTCCATATGAGCAGTGCTGTTGCTGGAAGGATGACGTTGCAGACGGAATGTCTGCACATGTCCTATAAGAGTTATGTGATTGACGCAATTCTTCTTGATGGCGCGATTTTCTTGAGAGCAGGCCATAAAAAGAAAGCGGGAGGGGCGGGGCGGGGGGTGGTGTTGGGCTCCATATCTGGTGTGTTGTTGCCGGCAAGATGATGTTGCAGACGGAAGGTCTGTATGATGCATTTTGAAAACTTGAAAACCTGTACAGGGGTCGTGTGATCTGCGCTGAATTTTGTCTCTTATGTCACTTATGTCTCTTTTCCTTTCTTTCTCTCTTTCTTGCTGTTTTCATTGTTCCCTTCATTGCTGTTTTCTTGCTTTCTTTCTTTCCTTCTTTCCGTCCTCCTGTCTAGATTCTAGATTCTGCTTGGAATAGCTTTTGATCCCTGTGACGGGTGTCTGTGCTTTCTGTTGTTTCGTTGTCTTCTTCTATCTATTTCGCTTATAATATAAGAACAGTATCTTATGCCTTGAATCGCCTTCGATGCCCTAAATATTCTCTTTAACACCCCTATCCCGTAGTTCAGGACCTAATGTGCCTTCAAACACAGAAGAACCCTTAAAAGGATTTTACATACTTTCGTTAATCAGCGGCTGCTGGGTTCTCGTAAGCACGTCCCTCTCTCCCTCTTTCGCTCATTTGCTGGGATTCCAGGCTCATGTCGGTCTCTTCTGCGAAGACATTGGAGGGCAGGCCGGACTCGTCCCCGCGCATGTCCCCAAGCTGGAGGCACGTAGGAAGGGGAACCGGGCTTCAGGAAGTATAGATCATCTGGATGATACAAGATCCTGATTTTGGGGGATGTTTTGACCGTTTCAGGTGCACCCGTACGGGACATCCTCCTCAACATCCCGAACTTATTCGCCCGCTACCTCAGGCTCCCTCTTCCTTCTGTCCCTGCCTGCAGCACCGGCTCGCTCATGGCATTTGGGTCCGTCCAAGCCTGTCTCGGTTCATTCGTGCTGAGGGCAGTATATAAGGGTCCTATCAGGTTGCCGCGTGGTTTTAGGCAGGGGCCTTAACAATATGAGGAAACGCCTAGAGCCCTAGCCCTAAACCCTGAAATCTTGAACGCATTGAACCCTCTAAAACGCCAAAACTCCAACCGTGACTGTGTCCTCGTTCATCTGATGGAGGATGTCCCCCTCATAGCCGGTGGCCATAAGCTGTTTCATCCAGACGTTCCGGTCCACGCCTGAGAGGAGGCTTAGTATTTGAGAGTTCGGGACTGTTTTGGCAATCGCACTCGGCAGGGTCAGGCGAGGCTTCAGGCAGAAGTTAAGCAAAGTAGTGACAAGGGTTTTGGCTGGACTTAGGGAAGCAGGGTCTAGGGCTAAAGGGGTTGGCACGGCATGTGGTGCGAGCTCGCGCCAGTGAGCACCAAACAGCTCATCCCCAAACCAGCCGGAGTTCAAGCATGTCAGGGTTTAGTTGCTGAAGTGTTGTGGCCAATCCAAAGGGCCTGACGCCCCAGTGGGGGCTCCTTCTCCTGGTGACATGACAGAAGGCTTCTGCAGCATTCCACGCGTTCGATTCTAGCCGCGGCTGGCTTGCCGGCAACCTTTCAGGAAGCTGGACGATGCCTGACGAAGTCCCAGAACGATGCCTCCAGTGTGCCGATGCCCCAAAAATAGCGGCCCTTCGTGGTTCCTGGTAGTTCGCAGATATCGCAGAGCTGGCAGCGACGGAAGCCGGAAACAAGATCCACACACGGCGTTCGCTCGGGCAGAGATGCTTGTCCGGTGAGCTGAGCTAAGATGACGACAGAGCACGCGGCAGGCCATCTCTCTATCTCTCTAAAACAGGCTTTGCAGATGCCGACATTGGTGGCATCAACTCTGTCAACAAGCCGCCCAATTGGCACTGGCGGAAGTTTTAGCAAGCGTGGCGCATGAAGTTCGCTGTCTTTGTGCAGGCGAAATCTGGAGCTGCCTTTGGATCATTTTGTGCATGTCTTACAGAAGTGATCATGACGCATTTGTTAGCTGCGCTGGATGTCCAGGCGAGCGTTTCAAGCTGTGCTCTTTGGTGACTTTGCCTCCACTTTGCGCTGGAAGGCTTGGGTTCACGGCTCACGCCAACCAGCTGCCCGAAATCACATGCGAAGATCTAGTTTGCGGACGATCGCCCGCTGCACTTGCAGCTGCTGGACATGGGTTCGTTTTTGGCCGCAAGCCCACCCCTGGAATATGCTTTCTGGGATGGCTTGGCGGCCACAAGCAGTGTAAATGGCATCACACCGCATGACAGTTGTCCCCGGGCGGGGGGGGAGGGCTGCAAGTTGACACGGACGATTAGGGAAAAAGGGAGAGAGAGAGAGAGAGACTGAGACACAGACGCACTGTACTCATCCTTGCTGCCAGAGTGCTGTGGTTTGTGCAGGCGTCGTACACATTTTCCTGCAGCATCAGCCTCATCTCCGAAATGCTACACTCTTCATGGATGCACGCTGGGCTCTTACGCAGGGCTCAGATATCCTAATTCTTGCTTTGCTTTAGGGGCAGTTGTTTGCGATTACCATTCCTGCTACAACAGGTGTCTGATCACGACATCCAAAACAAGGGATCCACACCGTTTTTAGCAGTTTAAGCCGTCTTTGCTTGGATTGGTTTTGCGCTTGCTCTTGCACGTGATTCCTCAAGATCCTCAAGCATGCTCATCCTTCTACACGTCGATTCTTGTCGTTCCTCCTGTTCTTGACGCTTTGACTCAAATCCCCCCTTGCGGCCATCACCTTCTTGGCGTCCCCTCAATGCCCTCATTTGCCCCGAGCCACCTGTTTGTTTCCAAGCCGATCCGTTCTGACTTTCTCGAATCCCCACGTCCTCCGCATGGAATTTTTGAATGAGTCAATATCTCTGCTTTTTTGCTTCCATTCCTGTCCAACAACTGCCGATCGACTCCGTTGCGTCCCGTCTCTTGCTCCCAGTACTTCTCCGATCCCTCTCTTGGCTGTCCTCCATGCAATGGAATTCCCCCTTCACATGCCCGGCTTCGTTCCCAGGCATCATGTCCGTCAGACCTGTGCTTAGTTGAAAGGACCTTGCTAGCTGAGGGGTGCTGCCCACGACCAAGACCACTGCGACTACCTAGACCACCATCACCACCAGCCCGGGGAGGCAGCACGGAAGACACCTTCCTCAAAGTCGTTCCCTCCATTAGCCGCACGGACGAGCCTCATAGCGTGATCCTGTAGGCACTCCAAAGCGTTGTAAGGGCACCAACCCTAGAATCTGTCCCCGTATTGTCTGGTGGGTGGGATTCAGAGGATGTACTATGCCCCTGCCGGAGTTTCCATGTTTCAAGATTTTCGAAGGCCAAGCTACGCAATGTATTGGAATTAGCCATGAAGTGCGGCATATTGGAGGACGGGGCCACAGGGGGACTGTGACTTCAGTCCAAGACGTGCACCGCGCCGCAATGGGAGCGGGCGCCCCCGCGGGCGGCTTGCGCGGGCACTGACCAACACCCTTCACTTGAGGACACCGGAAAAAGCACATCAATTTGGGTATCCGCCAAGGGTTAGGGTACCCAATGTAGGTTTAAAAGACCTATGATACATATGCACGGGCTATACGTTAACTGGGCTTCTGGGGGGCCAGTGCATGATCTTGAAGTGGACGCTCTCGGTCTCTTGGATGGCCGGGTGCCAGTCCTGCGGATCCTTAGCCAAGTCTCTGCCGATGCTAGGCTTGTCTTCTTTATCGGGCTTTATGAGGGTCTTGCGTAGTTTAATACAGGGGGCCTTTAGAGAATCGGAACAGGGTTCTGGTGATATAGTGCGCTATCATGTTCTAGGGGCTGGCGGAAGTAAGTGCTCATATTCAGAGCCAGAAAATAAAAGACCCAAATCATACAAACACGGTTCCTTGGTCCTGATTCGGGGAATAATGTGTCCTTATACAGCGGTAGAAGTTAAAAGGGTGCCGTCATCTGCTTCAGATCAATGCCAGACACCTTGTGTAATCTTTAAGGGCTTTTTTGCAGAACGCACCCTACATCAAGACAAGATACCCTGTGTAGTTTAGGGCGGCGGCATTTGGGTGAATGTGCGAGATTCACCCTTCAGGCGCTCAAGTGAGCAGTCGAAAAGGAGTTTAGAGGCATTGAAACGGAACCACGCTGGCACCCACCAGCTGTAAGCAAGTATATATAATACAGTAAGTAAGTCAACAAGTCTGCCAGTCTGTCTGTCCGTCCGTCTGTACGCATGTAGTTTTGCGTATGTATGCCGATAAATGTATGTACATCCATGTAGGTATGTAGGCATGTAAGCATACATGTACGTATTTATGAATGTATGAATGAATGAATATGTTATGTGACCCAATGGGTGCACGTGGGAATCTGCAGATTGTGTAGTGTATGCGACGTGGGCAATGTATGGAACGTACGTAGCCTTATGCAACATATGCGATCTATGTGATGCATGGAGCAATGCATGTCTTGCAATCAATGTCTGCACGGGTAAGTGCCATGCATGTCCCACATGTCATGTATGTGTGTAGACTGTATGTTACTGCGATGTCATGTCATGTCATGTGATGCATCGTATGAAACTTCATGTAAAGTAAATAATGTGAAAGTATGTAGGTGTTCATGTACATATGTATGTATGTACGTATGTATGTAAGTATGCATGTATGTATGCACATATGTGTTCGTCTGCATATGTGAGTGTTCATGCATTTAATGAAAACACAACCAAATCCGGCAGAAGATGAGTTTATCCCTTTCAGTTTCGAGGTGCGAAGTCGAACTCCCCAGGCTCGCATTTCAGGACGTAGAAGCAGTAGCCCAGCAACCGCAGGAGCGCTGCGTCCACATGCAGCTTTACAGCCCGGATCTGCTCCTCTGTGGCTTTAGGTGTGAGATGTTAAGATGTGCTTGTTTATGAGGACTGAGGCTCAGGGTTTGAGGCTCTTTTCGGGGGTTTGTCGCTAATGGGTTTCTGGGGTTTAGAACGAAGGGTGCAGATGTTAAGAGTTTTTGGCTCCGGGTCTGTTGCGGTTTGAGGCAATGTTTGTAGAGTTACAAGGGTTTAAGGGCTTGGGGCAGGGTTCAAGGGTTTCGAGCTTCGAATTCAGGTTTGGAAATTGAAGGCTTAGGGATTTGGTCTCCTGGAGCTTTTGCTGCGTCTTAAACGCCGGCCAGATGCTCAGGATCTGCTGAAGCTGCTCCTGGTCCCAAAACCGAAGTACGGAGAGAAGCAGCAAGAGGAGGTGTGAGACAGAGGCTGGGCTGCGTTCCAACAAACGAGACTAAATTCACGACGGCGCGCGCCAAACAAAAATACACACACACACACAGAGACACAGGCATCCAAACAACGAAATCACAAACAAGCGAGCCTGCGCACGAACACACGCAGACTTGCAAACTGAAAGATTCTGCGGCCTTCACCTTCACCATGATTGAAAGGAATGGCCGGTATTTGTGCATCGAGATGTGGCAGCGCGTGATGAAGGTTTCGATGAGTCCCACACGTTGCGAGATTTCGGTCCTGAGCGGTGGAGGGTTTGAGTGTGGCATGGTGGAGGGTGCAGGCAAGTGGGTAGTTGTCTAAATTAGGGACCCTTTTAGGGTCCTTTCCGTACTATATTTGGGGACCCACAAAGGGACCCCATTTTAGAGAACTACCCACCAAGTCGGACATCAGCTCGCAAGAACCGCTGCAAGGGCTATTTGGCCCCTGTGGGAAAGCTCAATCTTCTGACTCTGAAGGCGGCTCATTACTTCAAGCTTCAGTAAATCGGGAACCCGGGCAAGTCTACGGATTTTTGCAATCCCAAGCCCTCTGTAATCGTATAAGAAACCCCATTTCTGGCCTGCAGAGGCCTTAGAGAAAGACGAGCCTAGCCGAGGCAAAGCCTCTCTGTGCGCGCCCGGCGTCAGTGTTTCGTCGGTGGGGTTCATCAGAGTGGCGAGGCGCTTGACAAAATGATGGAACTCATTCCTTACTTGGAGGTTCATGGGTAGTTATAAGTGGGGTTATACGTATGAGTAACTATAGTTACTATAGTTACAACCCAAATTAGGGCACTTATAACCCCACTTACAACAACCCATGAACCTCCAAGTGCTCACAGGAAGAGGCCTTCTTTTGCGGGGGCGTCGCTTCTCATTTGCCACCCCTCTTAATGCGACTCTACTTGACACCATCGTAGAAGGCAAGATGGTGAGGGCTTACGGCCTTTCGCTAATTATCGCTTGGGATGCGAAAATTTGGTCGTCATAGAATGTGCCGTTATGCTCGGGCCGCCTGCGCACGTAACAGATTCTAAGCCCCCCTTTGCCTTTTTCGGTCTTCGTTGCCAGCTGAAGGGCACGACCAGAGAGGATGCGCTGTGGCGGTCCCCGGGGTGTTCCTCGTGAATCTGCGTAAGCTTATAGTTCCGCAAACTCACCTGAGACAGCCGTGCTGCACAAACAAGGACGAAGTTGGGACAGTGAGCTAGGAGGGAGGTCGAGGTAGCAAGGGAAAAAGAGAGGCAGAGAAAACGAGAGAAGGACGGAAGGACCGAAGGAACGTATCAGTCGAAAGACTCAGAAGAAAGCACGCGTTTTCAACGAGGACGGAGACATGCAGCAAATCATGGCTGAAATCGCGATTGGCCGAAACAGAGCGAACAGGACAACGCCGGAACCCAGGCGCCCACGACACGGCCCATCAAGGAAAACCAACAACACAAGCATTAACGAGAAACTGCTTGGCTACGGAGCGACGAGTACAAGCCAGCTTGTGTAGCATGCAAAACAAGGAATCAATGCTCCGGCAGCCGGACCAAACTTGGGTCGACACGTGCGCAAGGGGCTTCCCTCGAGCAATAGATGATACATGTAGACGTAGCATGAGAACATCCAAACCACAGGATCCACAACGACAGCGGCAAGCAATGTACCGACAGCAGTAGAGTCAGTAGAGCAACAGCGAGCGAGCGAGGGAGGCACTCTCGGAAGGGAAAGGAATTCGGATGGACGTGACGGGTTGTGCCAAAAGCGCTCCCTTTGCCGGGTCACTGAGAGGCTGTTGGCCTCCTTGCCAAGGAAGCCGATGTCGTGATGGTCTGGCATGTGAATGTCCCCGTGCGTCACAGGGATTGCTGCGCGGTAGTAGTTGCCGACAATTCCGCTGAGCATTCCATGGGATTGCTCGATCTTGAATGGTGCAATCTCGTGCGGGTAGGGCATGATGCCCATGTGCTTGTACATATCCGCGATCTCTGTGACGTGCTCTGCTTCCTTCTTGGACAAGTGCCAGCCATGGAGTGCCTGCAACTTCAGCGGACTACCCCTCCGTTTCTCAGAAGCGGAGCATCACATACGGAATTCGGAGAATTAGCACCCCACGCCGAGGACCCCTAAACCCGCAAGACCTACTATAACTTGGGGCCAAATGCCCCGACTTTGAGGGTACAGGGAGTTTCCTGCACCTAGATACAATCTGCCGAGAAAGGGCCATATCATAACACAAATAACAGTAACCGTGGTAGCAAAAACAGGAATCACGTAGTGATGACAAGAAAAAGCAATGATGACACGAGTACTAGTAGTAGTAGTAGTAGTAGTAGTAGTAGTAGTAGTAGTGGCAGCAGGAGTAGTAGTAGTAGTAGTAGTAGTAGTAGCAGCACTACTAGTTTTTGTGGCCCACTTGGCCACTTGGCGCGGCAGCAGCAGCAGCAGCAGCAGCAGCAGCAGGAGTAGTAGTAGTAGTAGTAGCAGCAGTAGCAGTAGCAGTAGCAGTAGTAGTAGAAGCAGCAGTAGCAGTAGTAGTAGTAGTAGCAGCAGTAGTAGCAGTAGTAGTAGTAGTAGTAGCAGCAGTAGTAGCAGTAGTAGCAGTAGCAGAAGCAGTAG